CCACATGAGATATACCCTTTTGGCGAATTTATCCTGGCGTCTCCACACCTGCTGTTTGCTCTGATCTCTTTCCTCTTGAGTGGCTAATCCTACTCTAGCCTCCTGTCCGGATTTGCCTTATCAGCCCATGGGTCCGTTTCTTATCTTTCTGGTTGACCGATTTCATTTGGTTCCAGCCACAATGTACTTTTACTCCGAGTGCTTTTTCTCAAACCTTCAGTAGCACATACAAAATTCCCTTCATCCTACATACTTGTTTGAACCAAGATTTCGTAACTTGATAATGCCTTCATTAGTCCTCTGCTTTGCAAATAGTGCTGTCGACGTCTTCGATAAGGAGCTCAATGAAGGCGAAATGACCAGTGAAGTCAGGTCTTTTACTTTAGGCCATTAAGGTTAGGCTGTCGTTAGGATACATTTCCTAATAATCTTTTGCGAAGTTGCCTGGGGTCTGTCAGCATTTGACCTGCCTTCCTCTTTACTTTTTTTACATGAATACTTGGTTTCCTCGCTTCCCTTCACATGGGTCACTTCATTTGAAATAGAGTTTTTTCCAAGGGATGTACACTCTTAAAATTGTACGCACATAATAAACTGGGCTAACTATTTGTGCAGCTACATTTGTATGTATGTGTGTGTGAGGATGTACTATTCTCATTTTATTCCTTTCTTCATTTGTCAACTTAAATTAACTTAAACAAGAGGACTAGGCTTGGAGTGGTACGTCCAGCACTGGAGTCACACTCTCCTGCGCCGCCTTCTTCGTCTTCGACACCTTTTCCAGACCCAACTATCCCCGTCTCTGACCGCCCGAATCTTCACCTCCCCCCCCACCACCTCGGTTTTGGCTGTCCTCCGGCGAGCAGCTTGTCCGCTTGACGGTGACGGCGATGAAACCAGCGAAGCATACTCTCCCGGCAGCCCTCAATCGTCATCTTCACTTCTCCAGCCGGCCCTACTCTGCCTACACACACCACAAGCCGGCCCAGCCTGCCTCCCCACCAATCTTTCAGCTGCCTCATCTGCCTCCTCATTGCCCTCTGTCCTGATCTCTTCTCCCTGCCCCTCCTCATTCTCCTCCTCTTCAGCCTCCTGCACGACCTCGCCTCCGACTCCAGCCTCGGTGCCATATAAGACCAATCAGATGTCTGCTTGCCATGTGCCCGAATCCCTTTAGCTACGGCATAGCTCCCTACTCTCGGTTGCA